AATGCCAAACTATAATCACCATCATTAACACTATCATTATCATAACCAATGCCAAACTATAATCAACATCATTAAAACTATCATTATCATATTCAATACCAACACTATCACCATCATCATTATCATTATCATCAACATCAAACTCAACTCAGGTTTTTATTGTATTGGTAAATTCTTTATACTCACAGGTTCACTGGGTTGATCATCCTGATCTGTTACTAACACAGACACCAATGTGAGAAGTGTGTCAATCTGAAAAAGGAAAAAGACTTAGTGTGTTTATAATAATAATAAAGAATGTTTTTATACGCATATAAAAAAACTCTATGTGTTTACAATAAATAAATGTATAAATGTATATAGAAATTTAGATTATAAAATAGAAAAATATAATGTTCATTTAATGTAATGTTTTTAGTACATGGAGTTGATCACAAGTCTGTTAACATACTGTAGCACTATTTAAAATTAACCCAAGATAAAAGTACTTTCTTCCTAAACATACCTGTTCTTGTGTGGGTATTTCAACTTCACTTTCAACAGCATTAGATACAACATATAATGACATTTCTTTTCTGGTAGCAAAGTCAAAGTAGTTGAACATGGGGATAAAATACTTCAGTTCTAGGAGCTTGAGGACATTGTTATAAGCATCAATAGGATTCTTAAGTAACTTTGTCAACTCCTTGGACACTGGATTATTTTTGTCAATGCTGAAAAAAAAAAAGAATGCAAAATTCAATTTTTTTTCCAATAAACTGTCTCACAAGGTTTAAAATAAAAAATATTGAAAATTGAAAATTGAAACAAAAATTTAATTTAATATTTAAAATTTGCCTAGTTTTATAGTTTCAAAGAAAAGAAATTAAAATAAATAGGCCTCTTCAGGAGGAGTGTAATGTTTTCCCATTTCAGTCCAAGTGTCATTCCCTAAGGTATCATTTCTTTGTTTAACAATTGTGCATGAAAAGACACATGAATATGGATACAAATATTACAAAGAATCTTGTTCTCTAGTCAATGACACATGGTCTGAAATGGAAAAAAATTACTATAAGAATTATATACATGTATCCCACTGTAGAGAAAAGTGGAAGAGCCAGTGGTAGCCATGACAGGAGGCACAACAATAAAGTCTTTTTCTCCTAGGAAACTAAATTCTTTTTCGTGTAAATAAAATTAGACCAGATTCAATTGGTCCTGCCTCCTGTCATGGCTGCCATCACGTGATGGCGCAAAGCCTCTATAGGCTTGGAAAACATTAAAAAACTTCAAGGTCAGGTCAGGGCAATTTTACATCAGCTGAAGCTAATGGTGTTTTGCATATTAGGTTTTGCAAAGCTACTGTACTGGTCAAATGAAATTGAATTTCCACTTACGATCCAATTTCTAATTTACTAAACAGTTCTGAGGTGTACTGTAACACTTTATCAACATAATCAACCCTGTCAGGATAGCACTTCAGCGCAAGGTTAATCAGCGACACTTGTAAGGAGACCTTGTCTTCTGTTGGCATGTCACTGCGCACCTACAACAGAGGGTTAGACATATATGAACAAACATTATTTTCAAGACCACAATTTTTTTTCTTTGAGACTGTCATATGTCGGATCAGGGACAATGGTTAAACTGACCTACAGAAACTGTTAACTAGGAAACTAATTTTTATCTTTATAATTTGCCTTTTTAAGTAATATTTTCTTCTCATTTTGTAAAGTGTGTTGACATTTTGTAGCTAACGCTATATGATAATTTTTAATCATCATCATATTCATTATCATCATCATCATCATCATCATCATCACCATCAATATCATCATCATCATCATCATCATCATCATCATCATCAATATCTATGAATTCATACAGTATCTACCTGCATGACTGAAGAAACTTGTTCAGACATGACTTCAAAAAGTTTAATCTCAGCTGGGATACCACCATCACTACGATTGGCAAACAATGCTAGACGATCAATCAGGCTGATAATGATGTTCTTGATGTTGACCTGGGGATGAAGCTCTGCACAGCTGGACAGGAATGCAGTTAGTGTCTGAAGATGGTACTCATCTGGGAATACCTTCAATGGAAAAACAAATGTGTAATAAATGAAATAATGGTCCAAGGAAGGAAGGATTATTTTTATCACACCCTGAAACGACTCCTGGGCAGATCGCAGATCAAAGTTAGTGCACAGCTAATTCACAGATTAAACCCTGAAACAACCTCTGGGCTGGTCTAAGTCAAGCCAGGGCTAACTCACAGATCAAACCCTGAAACAACCTCTGGGCTGATCTAAGTCAGAGCATGGCTAACTCACAGATCAAACCATAAAACAACCACTGGGATGATCTAAGTCAGGGCATGGCTATACACACATAAAACCCTGAAACAACCTCTAGGCTGATCAAAATCTGAACATGGCTAATTGACTCACAGACTGAATTGGAATTTAGCTTGTTAAGATCTGTGGAGGGAGGAAAGATTGAAGACCGAAGAGTTGTCTAGTTTTATTCTACCTAGAGCAACTAGTCCAAATGAAAATAACTTTCTTCTTCCTATAAGCCTAATGGCAATAGATACAAGTATACACTTAGTTTAGTTGCATTGACTCTATAGTTACAACATCAGCACATTAAGTAATTATCATGTACCTGAATAATGCATTCCATTAGATATTCCTGTGCTATTGGGTCTTTACAGTTAACAGTTTGTTCAATGATACCAGGAAGAACAAGCTGGGTAAAAAAATACAATAAAATATGTTAAACGTTTTTTAGAAGACTTTTGAAGATCATAATACAAAACAAAAATTGCTATTTTGAAAAGAATGTACTAATTAACAGTATTTGTAATTTTGTAAATAATGTAACATTTCTGCTGAACACCTTACACATAGTTTTGTATGTATATCTATATTTTTATCTTCATTGTTCATTTAATTATTTTATCTTTAACCAAGCTTTCAACGGCCATAGCAGCCATCTTCAGGGTCATGAAAGTACATATACAAAATCTGTGTACATTATTAACAAGCATGTTATCCATGAAAAAAATAACATCAGCGCAAGTTATACTGCGTGGATACCACACCTTCTATTAATTAAATAGACAGATTTCATGTGTGTACTTTCACAGTCAACTGATGACTGCTATGGCCGAAACTTTATTCAAAGATTAAAAAAGGACATAGAAGAAGCTCAATATATTTAACTAAATGTCTGCAAACAAGGATATTTCAAAGCTTACACATAATTTATGATTTATTACAAACCTTCTTATACATTTCAGCCGTAACTCCTTCAAGTTGGCTTAGTCTGACCAGATTTGTTCCAACCAAGATTCTCAGTTCCTGTCTCTCCCGTTCTCTCTTCTGCTTCTCCCTAGAGTGACCTTGATGCTGGATGCGAACCCAGAGCTTGTTCATCTCAGAGAAATTCAAGAGGACAAAGTTTATGGAGTCTTTGATTGTTCCAGTGCCTTCTGGGGTCTCCCTAAAATTCATTAGAAAATTAAAAACAAAGTTCCGACTATCTTATTTATAGCATGGCGGAGTGGAATGGTGTGGAGTGATCACAATATGTATACATTAGTCTCAAACAAGTAAAACATGAAATCAAGGGCGGATCCAGGGGGAGGGTCGGGGGCGACCCCCCTGTCATTCCTGAGGTCAAATGGGCTTCCTGTGGTAAAAATGCGACTGGGATTCCTTTGCCCACAAAATTTACCCCTGAGACCCCCCCTTCAAAAAATTCTGGATCCGCCCTTGGAAATGATTAGCTAACAAACTGAATAGTCCCCTTCACAGTTCCCTGCGCCATCTTGAAAGGTAACTGTGCCTTTTCATCAAAACAAGATGAATGGTGAGCTTGTAATGATAGAGACATGTGAATATGTCCAAGGTGTTAAAAAAAGGTCAATTAGAATTAAGAAATCTTAATTTTTGCAGAACGAGGATAATGAAAGAATCAAGTATGATCACATATATTGAGTATAGCCTCAACCTGGGCTTAAAATAAAGGCTGATCAGTTGCTGGTTGTGATGACTGGCCAAATTAGTATAAGCTTGGTCATACCTTGTTTCTGGCTAAACGTTACTGGTCAAAATGACCAACAAGGCAAAGATTTGACTGGACAAGTTAGAATTTTGGCTGGACATTGCAGATGTCCAGTCCTTATTTTAAACCCTGATGTATACCAGATAACCCACTCCAGTTGTCTAAAAACCATGCAATCCCCCCCCCCCCCCCCTCTAAATCTCCCATCCCTAAGATAATAACTAATGACTGCTAAATAAATTCTCACATTGATAAGATTTCCAGTCATACGAGGTCTGTTTTATTACAAACATTTTGTGTATCTACCTTTCATCCTCATCACCAACATCAGGCAACATGTTCTTAGTTGACTGTAGTAAGTARTTTCTAAGGAATAAGCCTCGTAAGGGATGCTGAACACCTCGACACATTTCTACCAGGTCTTTCAGGATGTCTTTTCTTGAGGCCTCTTTTGCTTTGACATACACTACACCAACAGTAATCAAAAGGTACCTAGAGAAAGAGGACAGTAATAAACCAGGGACTGTGAAGTTATTTTGAAGGATGAAGGAACCAATATGTATGGTCAAATAAAGGCCCTGGGGTGCATATTTTTGTGAGTCCAGTTTTGAGAGATGAGGGTGCCAACATGTATGATCAAATTGTGACCCTGGGGTGCATATTTTGGTGGGTCCCATTATGAGTATAATAATAATAATTTTTTTAATTACAATGAGAATCTACTTACAGTCTTGGGACAATGTTGCCAGCATACTGAACCAGTTCATATAAATCTGAAACCTTTCGTCCCTTCTGGAATTCATCCACAAGATGGAGCTCAAGATGTCTTAGTTCATCAGATATTGCCATGTCTGTGATGACAAAATTAAGGATAAAACCCACATAATCTTGTAACTTCACTGTAAAAAAAAATATAAAAAAACTACTTCTGCCTCCACTGAAAGTACAAATGTATGTTAATACCCTCTGGCCTTTGGAGGTTAACTGGGGTAAATGCTGGAGGTGACCTGACTACCATGCCTCCCAGGGGGACAAGCAACTGATATTGATGATCACTTCTGTTAGAAACCAGGGGCCAGTTATATAAAGGGTGGATAGCACCATCTGATGGATAAATCCTTATCCAGTAGATAAAGTGATGCTATTATCCACTATATTTATCCAGTGGATAAGATTTATTTATTGGAAAGTGAAATCCACCGATCATACAACCAGGCCCAGAAATTAAAAAAAAACAATATGAACCCTTGAAATCTCATGAAAAACTTGTACAAACTATTTTTTCCTCCCCTTCGAAAACACCCCCATTTCTTTTATTGATAGTACATTTCTCAATTCAAAATGTTGTTGTCTTGTCCTAAATTATTTAACATTTATGACCAAATCTTCAAAACTTTTTTTCAATCAAGGGGTGTGTTCATAGAATAGCACAAGACAGCTCAATATTTATGCACAATTCTCAAACATCATAAAACGATCAATAATGTACCACTCATTCATATCAATCATTTAAGATAACACCTGCCTAGTAAAATCAAAGACCACACAATTGATTTCTTCAAAACACGAAAATTAGCTTGAAATCATATACAAGGAAATAGAAAATAAATTATCATTAAGTTGAAAACTAACCATAGAAGTGAAAAATTGCTTTCTCGCTTCAAAATAAAAATGAGGGAAGGTTATGAAGAATGCTCAAATTTCAAGAATAACGATAATTTCTCCAAATTAAGGAGTAATCTCCCTCTTGAACGTTACATGGTCTCAAGTTTCTAAACTGCAAGGATACACAACTCGTAGTAACTTTTCGGCGAGAGAAGCGAAGTCCGCAATTCACTCAGCATGTTAGAAGCGTGTTTCAGACCATCCATAAGCTTGCCTTTGTCCTGGAATGATAATCAAACCATCTTTAGACCTGAAATCCTTGGAGAAAAGCGATTAAATCAGCTTCATGTCAGACTCACCAGACATCGTTTCATTTGGAACGACTGAGACTTGACAACTTGGATTGCCTCATCCAGCAGCTTTTCTTGGTCTTCCGTCGATGGTGGCTGTGTGGGAGGCTGAAATAGGGATTGAAGATATGAGATTTAGCTCTGGTTGTGTTAAAGCGGGTGAAAAAGTGTGATAATAACAAGAAATTCTCACCATTTTGTCAGATAACTTCCTCCTGTTTTACTGCTAGTACAAGAACATCCAAAGGTACCAGGCACGTGATCCCTAGACCCAGTCTTCTAACTTCCTCTAAACTCCCCGTGCCTACCCCTACTAGGGAATATTTTTCTAAGGAATTTGAAATCTAACTTTCTAATTATTAATTTTAACTTTTTTTCTATTTATAGACTATCTTTTGCTTTTATTTCGTTCTTTCAACAGAGACTTTCTGCCTTCATTAAAAATCGACATTAAAATTTTAACAATTTTTTTTTCATTCATTTACACTAGTGATTCATTTAATAAATTGTTCTACACCTAAATAATATTTTTCCAATTTTCTGCATGTTGGATTTTATTTCATTTAATGTTGCCATAGCAAATTCGATTTATACTGAATGCATTATGAACCGTTGGTGCTGGCCCCTCCCCTCCCCCCACGTACGAAATTTTCATTCCTACAGAAACTTCCACGAGACAATTAAATTCTCGCTTGTATTGAATTTTTTTAAATGCTCATTTGTTTCTTCGTTTTCTTAGTTACTTCTTCTTCTTTCTTTTCTTCTTTGTTTAGCTTTTTTGGTTACGTGCTCGTCTGAGAAGTGAAGCCACTTCCGAACACCTCCGATTGAACACCGAAGACAATCAATCGATATTGTTTCGCTGTTACTTTGCATGTTTTTCTTTGCTTTTTCTTGTTTGATTTCGATTTTGTGCGTCACCTGCAGCAAAAACACAACAGCAAAGGAAAGCATTTACTAAAAAGATAACTTCTAAAAATCAAAAATGAGTTCCTCAACAAGAAGGACTAAAATCAAGATTGCACTCGTTTTGGTATTTACGGCAATCGACTTATTTGTCTCTACAGTATTCCTCATTCATTGGGATGATTTCTCACAGCTAAGCAGCAACAATTACAAGTTCTGTACTTCTGCCTTTGATTTATGGGTCATAGCCTTGTCACGCTGTGTCATCATCCTCGGAGCAGTTGTCGGCTTTCTACGAAACAAGAGAGACGCTATACCTCGTATAGCTTCGTCTGTTAAACCAATGGGTTACTTTCAAGGCGCCATTGTGATCTTTCTGGTCGTTAAGTTTCTGATGAGCACGGAGTGTCATTTGGAGAAAACTTCAAAAATTTGGCTTTGGGGTTTCTCAGCTTGGAACTGTGTTTGTTCAGTTCTACTGGTGCTATGTTGTTATGAATTGTCTAAAATTGAAGTCCCGACATCAATAAGATCTTCACTCTCTACAGATAAAGAAATTAGCGATGTCTTGGAAAGAGAAAAGCTCCTTGGAGATGAGGATACGAATTCAGATGATGAAAATTCTGAACAAAGAAAAAAGTCATCAGTTAAAGCCAAGGTTTCTATGTCTAGCATATTTGCTTATTCTAAACCAGATATTTTATATCTACTCCTGGCATTTTTCTTTCTCCTCACTGCATGTGCTGCACAGATATTCATTCCATACTATACAGGGAAGGTTATTGATGGTATTGCCATAAAGAGAGACCGCAAGATGTTTGAACAGGCTATCTTAATCATGTCACTCATCGCTCTTGTAGAAGCCATAGCAGCCGGTTTGAGGGGAGGAATATTTTCATTTGTTTGTGCAAGATTTAATATCAGAATAAACAACACATTATTTGGATCTATCTTGAAACAAGAGATAGGATTTTTTGACAAATCAAGCACAGGTGAAATTGTTTCTAGATTGACCTCTGACACCACAAAAATAAGTGACCAAATTACCTTGAACCTAAACGTATTTCTTCGGAGTTTGGTAAAGGGTGTTGGTGTATGCATCTTCATGTTCAAACTCTCTTGGAAGCTTGCAATCGTAACATTGATTGGTCTACCAATAATTGCATTGGTGTCAGATATCTATGGTGAATACTATCGCAAGTTATCAGCTGCAGTTCAAGATTCAGTTGCAGAAGCCAATGAAGTTGTAGCTGAAGTTGTTTCATCTATGAAGACTGTTCGCAGCTTTGCCAATGAGGATGGCGAACTGAACCGGTATAAAGAAAAAAACTCTAAAGTATTCAGGCTTAAAGTGAAAGAGGCCATTTGTTTCGGTGGTTACAGCTGGTGCACAGAGATTCTTATCCTAGCAATGGAAGTGATTATACTCTTCTATGGAGGACATCTAGTTCTAAGTGGAGAACTTACAGGTGGAAATCTCGTATCATTCATTCTCTACCAGTTGGAGCTCTCGTTTTGTCTTGAAGAAGTTGGAGATGTCTACACTGGATTTATGGAAGCCCTAGGTGCAGCTCAAAAAGTTTTCAAATTGATTAAAAGAGAGCCAAAGATATTGAATAATGGAAGTGTGGTCCCTTTGCATTCATCAGGAGAAATTGAGTTCAAGAACGTTACCTTTTCATATCCCACAAGGCCAGAGGTGAAGGTTTTAAATGATGTCTCCTTTACAGTCAAAGCGGGCCAGGTTGTTGCATTGGTTGGGTCAAGTGGAGGAGGCAAGAGCACGACTATTAACCTACTACAACATTTCTATGAGCCACAAAGTGGAGAAGTCCTAATTGATTCAATACCAGTTCAACACCTTGACCACAAGTACCTACACAAAGCTGTTTCCCTTGTGGGACAAGAACCAGTCTTGTTTTCCTGTTCAATCAAAGAAAACATTGCTTATGGGATTGAAAACCTTTCAAAGGATACTGAAGCTATAGAAGATGCTTCAAGGCTGGCTAATGCACATGACTTTATTTCGACGATGCCAAAGGGCTACGAAACAGAAGCAGGTGAGAAAGGGCTACAACTTTCAGGTGGACAGAAGCAGAGAATTGCAATTGCAAGATCTCTCATCCGAAAACCCCAAATACTCCTCCTTGATGAGGCCACAAGTGCTCTCGATGCAGAGAGCGAACATCTGGTACAAGATGCCATATACAACAACTTAAAAGGCCATACTGTAATGATAATTGCTCACCGTCTTAGCACTATAGAGAAAGCAGATAAAATAATCGTAATTGACAATGGACAAGTTGTTGAATATGGAACCCATGTTGAATTGATGGCAATAGATGGTACCTTCAGTAAACTTGTGCAGCGGCAGCTATTGGGATCGTCTGAGCTTAAGTCATTAGCAAGTAATGGTGAGACATCAGCTCTTAGACAGACAAGCAGTTCTATTGGTCAAGTTAGCTCATTGTCATCTAGTTTTTCAAGTGCCTCAGGCTCACCTAGAGGATCTCCTGAGAGAAGCAGGCCTGCTCATAAACTTTAACCAGAATTTAAACTTTAGTTATTTGCATGGTAATTAGAATTGTTTTGGAGAATTGTTGTGATAAAATCATAAAAGACCATACCTACCCCATGGAAGAGCTTGGGAAGGTTTGGCAGGGCTAAAAACAACAGTTTCTAAATGACGGTACCTGATGACCAGTTACATTGGACTGTTCAACATGTGACCAGTCAATGTGACCTGTCAATGTAACCAGCCATTGTGACCAGTCCATGTGACCAGCCAATGTGACCAGTCCATGTGACCGGTCCATGTGACCAGTCCATGTGACCAGTCCGTGTGACCAGTCCATGAAAGCAGTCCATGTAACCAGTCCATGTGACCAGTCACATAGGCACTTTTAATATATAAATTCTTCATAAATCGTTACCATAGTGATATGATGTAGGTCATACTTGCATATAAAGTGCAAAAAGTAAATTGTCCACACTTAATCCTGGAAAACCCTTTTAATTGATTTATTTAATTTAAATGTTAATAATTCTATTTAGCAATTTTGAAAACACTGTTTCATGTGTTTTTTGTTGTTGTTTTTTTCCCTATAAAAACAATATATAAAACCTTTATTTTTCCAGAAATCTTAATTTCACCATGGACATTTCTTGGATAATCCGCATAAGTTCATTGTTACAGAAGGTTTTTTCAATGCTTTGATTTATTTGTGATTTATGAAAGATTTATGGAAGAATATGATTTTCACAAAATCATGGAATAAAAATGTCCTAAAAATATGCGAAATCCAAAATTGCAATTTTTTGATCGAGACCAGTATGACATCACAATCAAACGTATTCTCTCAGGCTTTAGATACACAAACACAGCGTGACAATCAAGACTTGCTCGTCACCCTGCGTTTTGAGGAGAGGTTTTCCACAGCATTTACTTGCACTCTTGTTTGAGAAGTTTGAATCATACTTTCAGTATATAAATTATTGATCATTTGTCTCTAGCTGAAAGTAACCCATTGTTTTTCTATGTGAAATAATTTGTTGCAAATAACTGCTGATAGATATGTTACAATACCAAAGTTTTGGAACACCTGTACATGATTCAAATTAACTTCTCTAATAAAAGTGCAAGTTAATGCCGTGGAAAACCTTTCCTAAGAACACGGTGACGAGCAAAAGAACTGCAACAAACCCAGAGTTTAAAGTGCGCCTAAAGCTTGAGACAAGGCTTTCAGTATTAATGAGCGAAACATGCTCGTTACAAAAATATACGCGTGTAATTGACCCTCATTTCCTAGCTGTTGCTCATGTACGCAGGTAACTCGTGCTCTTTACGTCCGTAATTAAGTGATATTGTCCTCGCACATAGATAACACACACGTTCACCTCCATTAGCTTTGTCTCTTCGCTTTTGTTTTCCCGCCATTTCCATTCCAGTGATAAATAAATCATCAATATGTATTGTTAGTTGAGTATTGTTCCTCCTTATTTAAGCACAGTTATCCCATACCCTTTTGACGTCAGTCATTTGGCGACATTTTTCCGCAAGTCTTTATTTTCGAGAGAGGAGGTTTTTGAATACTTATCAACATGTATCGTTCCTCCTTATTTAAGCACACAGGTATCCCATGTTCTTTTGACGTCGGTTATTAGCCACATCTTTTTTTCGGGGGAGGAGGTTTTTGATCACTTTGTCTATTCGCCCTTGGTTTTCCGCCACTTCCTTTCCATTAATAAACCATTTAATCTGTATTTTTTTCCGGGTTTTTTTTCTAGCACACAGCATCATTGTTTAGCGCACAGCTTTTTCTCTTCTCTAGCTCCTGGTCCACCCATGCACACCATTTGTTCTTTCGTCAATTAATAAACCATTAAATTCTCATGAAAATATATTCTTCCGGTTTATTTATACCACGCACAGAAGCAGTGTTCAGCTTTGTCCCCCCCACTACCATTTGCCGACCATTAACATTTTCTTCCTGTTTATTCAATCACACTGAGATATAAGTGCACGTGGACCAAGCAACTTTCCCGCCTGGTCCATCAGCAAAGTTCCCGCGCACCTTCATTTAGCGCTAGCAGGCGCGCTCATTCTATGACGTCATTCTCGATGATTTCGCGATAAACAATACGACGTGGTTGATACTTCACATTCACCCTCTTCAAAAAGCTCTTGGAATCCTCGCCGAACCCTTCTTGTATCTTAAGGTCACAGAGGTAAATTTTCTCTTGCTAACTTTTTAAAATATACTTTTCGATAACAATCTGAAAAAAATCCTATTTTGTGCAAAATGTTTTGGACAAAACGATTTCAAGGTAAATTGTTTTGGTTTTAAGATTTGAGTTTATTTTTTGTGTCTTTATTGTCCAATTACTCGGTCTTTTCAATTTAGTGCAAAGAGCTGTTTACTTGCTCAAAACGTCCTAATATATAAGCTTTTACTGAAAACCACTTTTCGTTTGCCTAATTTTCATTCACGAAAAGCTTGTTTAGCCAAATTTTGGCTGCTTTTTTTACTGTCGAGTTTTTCGCTGTCATCATCATCTTCGATTTTATCTCTGTTGTTATTTCCGTTTATATTCTTACTATTGTTGTCGTCTTGAGCAGTTTTTATTTCATACTTACTCGTTTGAATTCACTTTTAAGTAGAGACATGCAAATTTTTCCTAACAAAACCAATGTCTTATTATTCATTCTGCGTAGCAAACACTCAAATTGGACTAGTGCCAGCCGCCATCAAAGACTGATTCAGTAATAGTTATATAACCTAGAAATTTCTACTCGCTCAGGTAAAAGGAAAAATATTTCCATTAAATATTCTCAGCAGATTTAGTATAAACTTTTTCACAGTGGGAATCTTTTATTGTCAAATATAGTTAATAGCCATGTAACACCTGTACCACGTCCACCACAGGGATCTCTAGCTCGTTTTTCGTTTCTTTTGCTTGGATCAGTTCATAAACCAACACAATGGACTACTCTTGAAAGCTAAAAACAAATCTGTGGGATTAAAAAAAAGCGTTTAAGGTTTTATGGCCGAATGAAACTTGTTAGTAGAATGATAAGCCCTTTACAGTGCTTGAGGTCTGCTAGGGGGATATTGTGTCGTGTCCGACCAATGTGGAAAGACTATTTAAAACGAACTAGCTATTATAAGATCGATATCTCGCTATGTACTTTTGACTCGTACTCCAATCAATGTTGGGACCCTGGCTGGGTGGGGGGTGGGAGGTGTGATCGCGGATCGCCGGTTACGTTGCCCACTGGGGTAGGAATTTAACAGTTACCATCTTTATGATATCTAGCGAGCCTGAACATTAGGAAGGGCTGGGAGGAATGACATTAATCTCCCCCCACCCACCCGGCCGCCAGCCGTGGGGCTGAACATTGATTGGTTAATTGATTTATAAAGGGAGGGTGCAGTCCACTTGGTCAATCACACAAATAGGGAGTTTTTTAATTGTCCCCTCGGGCTATAGGCATGACAAAAAGGGATTGGTTGACACGACTTTTTCCGAAAAAAACATTGCTTAATCAAACACGCTAAACCTACAATAAAAGTTATGAATAACGATGTGTTGGGCTCTGCGTTGGTGTAAAAAATATAAACCGCAATACAAGGCATTTAATATCCAAAACTGGTTACTCTAAACATATAATTAACCAAAATATTAGTCCGTTGCCAATAGTGACGAATAGAAGGGAAGCGCGTGTGATGTGCCTCTCACCAAGGCAACCCGCTGGATTCATGCATTCTCGCGTCGCGGCTCGATGTCAGTTGTAAGTGAGTGAACGGTTGTTTGTTGACTCTCTCCTGTTGTTCGAGGGTTTTTCTCCCATTTTCTTCTTTTCTTCCTCTGCAAAAATTATCTCCTTACTGAAATACTACTGATTGGATCTAGGTATCGGCTACAGTTGCAAGTGGGTTGTTAGACCTGTTATAGGCTTTCCGTCGTCCACCCTGGAATGGTAAGCATATCCCATTAAATTATTTTTAGACGTACAACTAAAAGCTAGCCGAGTTTTTCCTTTATTTTTTATCATCTTTTCCATTAAATTGATAACAATATTAGAAAACCGAACCGAAAAGAGCTTGACAATAAGAAATTTATAGTTTATTGCAAATTGCTTTGTCTTAATTTAGTTCCGGAACTAATGCTTCCTTAAAATGAGGCCCCATTTCACATTTTATCTTGGTTCGTACTTAATGCTCCTAAATCAAGCCAAAACAAAGCCAAAATAAGGCAATGTTTTTGCTAGATTTTAGACCAATGGATTAATCTGATGGAGACAATGAAGCCGAAAGAAAGGCAAAATTATTCGAGAAACTTCGGCTTCAGTGGTCGGTATCTGTCTTCGTATTCTTGACACTTTTACTGATTTATCCAGGATTACAAAACGCTCCTGAAAACAATAATGTCATCAGGCTACTGATTTTAAAACACTTTCGTCTATTTGATATTTCGAAGTCGAAGGAAAAACTAGGTTGAATAGGCCCTTTGCAGCTAAGCAATCACGTGCTGATTAATTCACGTGAGAGCAAATGAATGAACATTTTGATTCCCATGGGTGAAATTTACTGGACTGCAAACAAACTGTCTACAACCTGTTTCGAGAGATTGTAATAAAACTACATTTCGTAACACACTGGATACACATGTTTTCATACAGTTCTTTACAAGTAGCTAAAAAGAATCACCAATTTAATATAAAAACAAAAATTTTGCTAACTGCAAAGGGCCTATTGGAATTGCAGTGCATTGAGTTTTTTTGGGACACATTTCAATATGGCGTCTATTTCGTCCCCTTAAGCAGCCAGCCCCACAATGCGATGCAATAACTACTCGACCCAGTCTTTTCCTTGACCTCGGAATGGCTGTGCAAGAGGTTGCTGGTCAATACTCAACCATCACCTGAGAAAGCCATCAAATTAATTGCAAATACTGACGTGAACGCAAACGATCCATTTGGGAAAAACCTTTTAGAGGTTTCAGATAAGAAGGGATAGATTCCGCGCATTGCAAAACTATAGTTTATCATGCGCGGCAACTTCAACTTCGACTCAGTGGAGCTATTATTCATGGCCACTTAACGGAACCGTGTAATGGAGTATTCACCGCCCCGACCTGTCCTCATTTTAGGCTCGAGATTCATTGTAAGCCTTACTGAAAAGGTTTTAATGAAAATGAACAGTCAATGTCATAAACGTTGTCCACCAAAACAAGACATTTACACATTTAGACATTTACACGTTTAGACTTACAGAAATATCACGTGATTCCTCTAACGTTCTGTCATAAAACAAACGCTGAAATACAATTCTGCATCTTAAATCCTCACTAAATGGTAAGGGCATTCTGGATTTTTGATTCATGAGTTGAATTTTACATTTAAAGTTCAGGCTGATGCACACGAGGCAAAGAATACATATTGAAACACGTGATATATCTTTTAGTCTAAATGTATAAATGTGTAAATGTCTTTTTTTTTTTGTGGACAACGTTAATGACATTGACTGTATGTTGCCTACATATGAAAAAAAATCATGGTGTAGTTTGGAATTTACGAACATGTTAGTTATGTAATAGATCAAAAACAAGAGCGAGTGTTTGACCAGGGCATCCAAACACCGAGAAACAGATGAAAGCACGAGGCTGTAGGCCGAGTCGCCATTGGTCATTGACCTCATGAAGTATTAATGAGTTTGAGAAGTTACAGATCATAAAATAAATAGTTCAAAAATACAGCTCACAGCGAACTATAATCCACCCTATATTCAAATGGCACGGTTTTTTCCCAATATATTTCAATTACTCCAAAGTGATTTACCATCAGCTTTAGATAGAATTACGAACTTAAAACAGTCGAATGAACTACTTTCCCGACTACGTTAATGAAATGCTTTATTTCTGTAAATTTTCTGCTTTAAAACTTAACGTCAAATTCTTTGTAAATTCTCTTCAGATTTTCTGTCAGAAAATGTTTAAGTGCGACTCCGTTAGAAATTTAGATGAAAATCAAAAAATATGTGACCAAAAATCTTAACATGACGAACTGCATTAGGACTATAGAGTCCCCCAGATTGAGCTGCATTCCAAAGTGCTGCAAGGGGTCTATAGTATGATGCGTTAGAGGCTATTTTTCTTCTTAATTTTCCTTTTGAAGTTTGCTTTCCGTGTACAGTGCGTATTTTTCCCCCTCCTACTTTTGTTATAAGAAAACAAAAGCTTAAAATACTGAAATAAGAATAAGCAGGAAATGTGTACAAATTAAAGCAAAAAGCATTATTTGTATTTTGAAAACAGCGAAAATTAAAACAGGAATGGATTTGGCCTCGTGCATAAACAATAGTTATGTAACAGTATTTAAATGTGTTGGAGATCCGGAGGCACTATTTAATACTTCTTTTACTTAAAAAGCTTTTTCCATCAATAATAGATGAGAGATGAGGCGGTAAGCCATGAATAATAATGATGTTTGGATCTTTTCCCAAAAAAATTGCATCCATATCATTTCAAAGAGCGCATCAAGACTCATTTTCTGCATTATAGTACACTCAACAAAATTACTCGACTCTGATTGGTCGAGAGGAGTACAATTATAGCGTTAATTGTACTCCGTAGGAGTACCGAATTAAGTCGCTATRGCAACACGGCCAAAACAATGTCAAAACAATTATTTTCTATCATTTTGTACTTAAAAAGCATAAATAAAATTTTAAAGCCGTAAGAACTAATCTTTTTTATGCATTTCAGTTGCACGATGGACTGGAAATCGGCCGCCAAATAGACAAAGATGAACGGCGTCGCTTCGCATTTTTTACTGAAATTTTGTTGAGTGAACTATAAACAAAAAATCGCACGATCTTTTCGTACAATTTGGAATTAATAGACACTCGTAATGTTTTGAAAGTTCTTTAATTGTACTCGCCTAAAGACTCGTGCAATTACAAGAACTTTCAAAACATTACTCGTGTCTATTAATTTCCAAATTGTACTCGAGATCGTGCGATTTTAGTAATTTTGAGTAATTTTGAATCTCCTTCCTATCTCCCTGGAGAATCAAAAGTTGTGTAGCGATAGTACGGCTCTCGATTACAACAACAACGACAACAACAGAGTTCTCTGTCTGATTTTCCTACCTCCAAAAAATATCTACCTTAATATAAAATATAATGAAATTTAATACTATGAAAATACTACGTTTCGTAGTCATGGTGACGCCATTGTCAAGTGGATTAATTGGGTACAGAGTTCTTAATACGAAAAATCAGTCCAGTTCGATGTGTGAGTCGTCAGTACACTCTACACTCAATTTCAATCAGCCCAGATTTTGTTTCAGGATTTAAGGATTCGATCTGTAAGTTAGTGGTACTCTGACTTAATTTGGATCAGCCCAGAGGTTGTTTCGGGCCGGTTTTGATCACAGGTAGCCCAAGCTTGGTTTCTGTGGTGTCCTGTTATAAGGAAATGTATGGGGAATCATCAAAAATTTCAATAAAATCATCAAAACGTGAAATAAAGCCTCGAAATTTTACCCTATTATTGAGAAATAGCACTTCTTTCGCTCTGCGCGGTTATTTTTTGAATTTAGCCCGTTTTAAGGATTTTTTCCCCCACCAGTAAGAAATAAGAGAAGGTTGGAAACTCGAGGCCCAAAAGCGAGCCATCACGAGTCTTTGAAACCTCGTACGTCTTCGAATTTTCTTTCCAGCGCCAAATTTTAGTCATGACCCTTCTCTCACATCCCTATAGAACCGAGAAAGTCGCACTAGAGATTAGTCTTCGCGTCTTTAAGCCATGAAATTTGCCTGTATTCACATACTACCTCGCTTGTTCTGACCCGTACTTGGAGCTCACTGTACACCAGTTCAACGGATTTCTTTCGGCAACCGACCCGAGGTCACGCCGGAAGTCTTCGTATCGTAAATGCGGATTCGATTTGGATATCGTCTTTCTTCGAAATTATAAGTTAAATACTTTTGTATCTTAGGCCGTTAAAAATACACTCACCATAATTTCGATGAAAGACGATATCCAAATCGAATCCGCATTTACGATACGAAGACTTYCGGCGTGACCTCGGGTCGGTTGCCGAAAGAAATCCGTTGAACTGGTGTACAGTGAGCTCCAAGTACGGGTCAGAACAAGCGRGGTAGTATGTGAATACAGGCAAATTTCATGGCTTAAAGACGCGAAGACTAATCTCTAGTGCGACTTTCTCGGTTCTATAGGGATGTGAGAGAAGGGTCATGACTAAAATTTGGCGCTGGAAAGAAAATTCGAAGACGTACGAGGTTTCAAAGACTCGTGATGGCTCGCTTTTGGGCCTCGAGTTTCCAACCTTCTCTTATTTCTTACTGGTGGGGGAAAAAATCCTTAAAACGGGCTAAATTCAAAAAATAACCACGCAGAGCGAAAGAAGTGCTATTTCTCAATGATAGGGTAAAATTTCGAGGCTTTACTTCACGTTTTGATGATTTTATTGAAATTTTTTTGAATTTCCAATACATTTCCTTATAACAGGACACCACAGAAACCAAGCTTGGGCTACCTGTGGTTTTGATCAGTCACAGGTAGCCCAAGCTTGGTTTCTGTGGTGTCCTGTTATAAGGAAATGTATGGGGATTTATCAAAAATTTCAATTAAATCATTGAAACCAAGGGCGCCAGGACAGACGGATTGGGTTTTACATATGTGTGATTGTTTCAGTTATTCGTAGATTTCTAATTGAATTGATATATGTTTGTTTCTAAATGGATACGAAATAGTGTTCAGTTATCTTTCCATCCAACGGTCTTTCTGGTTCGAATCAGCCGTACGTACGCTCTGAGTATTTACCGCTGCACCATCCGTGCGAAGCAGCGCCTGCGCCGCATCGTTAGCGATTACTCACCTTTAATAAGTTAATCAAATTTACCTTCAGTACAGTAAAATAGACCGGGTCTAACTTATTAAATGTGAGTAATCGCTAACAAAGCGACGCCGGCGCTGCTTGGCACAGATAGTGCAGCGGTAAATACTCAGAGCGTACGTACAGCTGATTCAAATCAGAAAGACCGTTGGATGGAAAGATAAGTGAACACTATTTACTAGTACATGTAGTATCCATTTAGAAACAAACATATATCAATTCAATTAGAAATCTACGAATAACTGAAACAATCACACATATGTAAAACCCAATCCGTCTGTCCTGGCGCCCTTGTTGAAACGTGRAATAAAGCCTCGAAATTTTACCCGATCATTGAGAAATAACACTTCTTTCGCTCTGTGTGGTTATTTTTTGAATTTAGCCCGTTTTAAGATTTTTTCCCCACCAGTAAGTAAACTATGTTTGGATTATGTATTTTATCTATAATGTTCTATAAAAATACAGTAGATTAAATGAATAAGTATATAAATGAGAGTGCCCAATATTTACAGTCATATCAGAGCTTGTTTAAATTATATCGATAAGCTAAAACGACTTATGAAATAATCAAAGTGCATGAAAGCACGGCTAACTCACAGATCGAACCCTGGGCCCGGTTGCATAAAGCTCTCTTAAGATAAGAGCTAGCATCCGTAAATATTATTAGGACAATACTTACGAGTGTTTTTAAGCTTTTTTTCTTAAGAGAGCTTTATGCAACTGGGCCCTGGTCATCTTGATGCCGTTAACAATGGATGCTCTTTTGTGCACCAATACTCCCCCGCCGAGAGACCGCGATTACTGACGTAACCTGTACAATCGAAGAACTTTTAAAAAAACGGATGTTTTCGGAAGGCGACAGGAGATATATCATGTTGGGAGAAAATCCACTGAGAAAAGCTTGAATACCGAGTTACGTTTCTGTTTTTCTTAATCTCACCGAGAACTAAGTCAAGGACACGAAGGCTAGTGCTGAAACGTTCAATGTTGTTTCCTTGACTATTCTCGTATTTAGTTGCATGCAATTAACCACTTTTCATCTTGGAATCGTTTTCGGCTCCGACATCCTTTTGTCATAAGTGCATGTCTTTCGACATTCCAATTATTTTCAACTCACTTCTCAACTTATTATTTTCACATATAAAACAGTTAAATATTAACATGAATATTAAGCATTTATAATTATACAATTTCATATTTAAAAACGTCGGAAGAACACTCAGCGGAACACCTGTCTTTGTCGAAGCCGAGGATGGCTGTCTAGAACAGATCCTTGAGGAGTCGAGTTTAGATCCATGGCACTAAAATTTCCAATAAAATTCTCGAACTTTTTTAAAGCTTTAAGATATTTTACAGCTAGTTTTGCTTCTCAAAGGGTTTTTTAATTTCATGTGGACTCTATATTATAAAATTTTCCGCCTAAAACGTCAAAACTAAAGTTTCTCATGAATTGTTTTCGTCGGGGTGCAGGAAATCGTGCGAAATAGTAGTATTATTTTCTTACAAAAACAATTGAAAATGGCAATTAAAGAACTCAATTAGATGCTAATTCCTTCCACTTCTGACGTTTGATCCTACATATGTTTATTCGCATATCAATCAAGACCTAAAACCGCTCAATGTAAACAAATAAAGCAAAGAAAATATCAATTTATAGTCTATTTATTTACTAGTATTTAAAACTATTGTGAATATAATTTAACGGAGCCGCTGATAAACTGTTCAAACAGTTCCAAAAATGGACAAAATGCTGTCTGTCACGTCTGAACTGTTTTTAATTTTTTCAAGACGACAGGTTTCTGTAAATATTTGATATTATATTTGTCGTTTCTAGCTGTTAAAAGCGTCATAAAACTTGAAATTGGCCATACAAGTTTGTTTCCTGTATGACTTGAATTTTTCATTTTGATTAAAATGTGAACAAATAAAGGCTTTCTACGTGTTTTTGTTCGTCTTTTCAATTCTTTATCTTATTCTTTCTCGAGTCGACGTCAACTTGCCAGGCAAGCAATGAATTTTGTAATGTATTTTCTATAAGGATTTGAGTAATATCGCTTATGATTCAGAATTCGAAAGCTCAAAATAAGGTTGCGCTTCGACCGGGAACGGATTTAATGGAAAAAAGGCAAGTAAAGAGGAGTCATTGCCA